AACTATAAAAAGTATGCAGAGTTCAGGGAAGATTAAAATAATTTAGAAATGGAAGAATTCAAGGATGAGAAAAAGCCTTGGTTAATTTACATTTGGGGACAAGATAATGATGCATTTATCTTAACGGGGCATATTTTTATTTATTTATTTATTTATTAAAAAATTTTTTTTATTGTTAGTTTCAGGTGTACAGAACAATGCAATAGTTATCCTTTTCACCCTCACAAAGTAACAACCCCCCTCCCCATCTACTGTCCTCCCACCTCCGATATCATGCTTATCTATTACAATTCCATTGAATCTGTTCCCGCTCTCTACTCCATGTCCCATGACTATATGCATATATAATTATAGTTGACATACAATATCATTCAACATCAGCTTCAGAAATACAGTACGGTGGTCAGGCCTCTACACCGACTATGAAGTGGTCTCCCCAATAAGACATGAGTCCATCTGGCCCCCTAAGAAATATTTACACCATTACTGATTATATACCCCAGACTGTCTTTTTTCCATCCCTGAGGCCATATTGTAGTTACCAATTTGTATTGTCTCATCCCTTCCCCTTCTCCTTCATTCCCAACCCCTTCCCAGCTAACAACCCTCAGTTCTTCCTCTGTGTCTCTGAGACTATCTCCATCCACATCTCCCATCCATTCAGTTCCTTAGAATCCACGTATAAGTGAGATCATATATTTGTCTTTCTCTGACTGACTTATTTCACTTAGCATAATGTTCTCTAGTTCCATCCATATTGTTGCAAAGGGTACTATTTCCTTCTTTATAGCTGAGTAATACTCCATTGTGTAAATGTATCAAAGTTTCTTAATCCAGTCATCTACCGATGGGCATTTTGCCTAACGGAGCATATTTTTAAAAGAACAGACTATGAAAGACTTTACACAAGGAAAGACAATCAGAATGCCTATCTTGAGAGGGAAAGGTAGGACAATTCAGTCACTACACTGCTAATTTCAAGAATAATAATAAAAAAAAATCCCACCAAAAACCATGGAATCATAAGTTAATGTCACACTTTAAACAAAAGATTAACAAAATAACAGTGAATAATTAATTGATTAAAGGAAAAAAATCCTATTTGAAAAATTTGCTGTAGTTTTAAGATTTTAGAAATCTGATTCAGGCTCTCTTTCTCTTTCTAAATGCCAACAGATTGATCTAAAGGCAATAAAAGCCATTAAAATGTGAACATTATTTGGTTCAGAATGTTCCTGTCATCATAACCAGCAATATACCATCTCCCTACAGGCCAACCTGTGGTAGAAGGGAGCACTAAAAAGAAATTGCTTGTGTCTGTGAACTCGGAAAGTGGGTAGTCCATCAGAGGAGTCACTATTTAATGCTGTCAAGTTAAGGCCACTCCTCGCCTGCCACCATGACAGATGTGACCTTGCAAGGGGACCCAAATTCTCTAGGGTATGGCCAAGGTTTCCTATAATTCTGAAATAGTTTCAAAAAGCCCATTTAAAATAAGCCAAGTCATATTTAGTATGACTTGATAACAGGCATGATTCTAATTGTGATTTTAACAAGAAATAATCCCGATCACTTAACTTCAGTACTAAATAGCTGGAACAGCAAGAAATTATTTACTTCCTGATCTGTCTTGTAAAATGTACATTTAAAAAAATCTCTTTTAGTTGAAGTAAAATTGATGTACAATAAAACTTCCCACATACAAGGTATACAACTTGATGACATATGTATACACCTGTGAGACCATCACCACAATCAAGATAACGAACACATTCAGCACCCTCCAGCTTCCTTGTGTCCCGTTGTCATCAGTCTTGCCCTCCCCCCAGTCAACTGGCTCCTCAGTGAATTTCCACACTTGAGTCAGTTTATATTACCCAGAACCTCTTGAATGAAGGGGAGGGTGGGTTGCCTTGGGGAAGGACCCCCCAAGATTTATACTGCTAATCTCTCTCCCAGCCTTCCCCAAAGGGACCTCCGGCCTTTTACCAGAGAAACTACATTGGAAAAAAGGAACTAGCCAGTCCAAGGACTATTGGACACTGATTCTGAACTGATACTAATTCCAGAAGACCTGAAACGTCACTGTGGCCCACCATTCAGAGTCGGGGCTTGTGGAGGTCAGGTGATCAATGGAGGTTTAGCTTAGGTCCATCTCACAGTGGATTCGGTGGGTTCCTGAACCCATCCTGTGGTTATTCCGAAGTTCCAGAATGCATAATTGGAACAGACATACTTAGCAGCTGGCAGAATCCCCACACTGGTTCCCTGACCTGTGGAGTGAGGGCAATTAAGGTTGGAAAGGCCAAGTGGAAGCTTTCAGAACTGCTTCTACCTAGAAAAACAGTAACCCAAAAGCAATACTGCATTTCAGGGGGTGCTGCTGAGATGAGTGCCACCATTGAAGACATGAAAGCTTTCGGGTGGTGATTCCCACCACATTCCCCTTCGATTCGCCTCCTTGGCCTGTGCGGAAGACAGATGGATCTTGGAGAGTGACAGAGGCTCATCGGAAGTTGCAACCAGGTGGTGACTCTAATTGCAGCTGCTGTTCCAGATGCGGTTTCATTGCTCGAGCAGATGAACACATCCCTGGTACCTGGTATGCAGCTGTGGCAGGTGCCTGTTTCTCCATCCCTGACAGAAGTCCCGCCAAAAGGAGCGGCTTTTAGTTGTCCTACCCCGGGGGTGTATCAACTCTCCAGCCCTACGCCATAATTTAGTTCACAAGGATCTTGATCACCTGTGCTTCTGTAAGATATCACACTGGTCCACTGTACTGATGACCTTATGCTGACTGGACCTAGTGAGCAAGATGCAGCAACTACTCTAGACTTATTGGTAAGACATTTGTGTGTCAGAGGGTGGAAAATAAATCTGACGAAAATTCAGGGGCCTTCTATGTTAGTGATTTCTGGGGATCCTGCGGTGTGGGGCAATGTCAGAATATCTCTTCTAAGGTGAAGGATAAATTGTTGCATCTGACCCCTCCTACAACCAAAAAAGAGGCCCGATGCCCAGAAGAGGAGGCTCTGCACAGGCCCGCCACTGGCGCCTCTCGTTCTCAGGCCTTTGGAACCACTGGCTTTCCTGGGTTCTCCATCTTGCAGATGGCGGGACTTCTCAGCCTCCATAATCATGTGAGCTGATTCTTTATAATTCCTCATAATAAACGTATATTCCTTATAATAAATCTCCATATATATTTCCTATTGGTTCTGTTTCTCTGGAGAACCCTAATATACTCAGTCTATTTTTAGCCATTCTAGCGAGTATATGGTGACATCTCATTGTTGTTTAATTTGCATTTCCCTAAAGATTAATGATGTTGGTCATCTTTTCATGTGCTTATTTGCCACACACAGATCTTCTTTGGTGAACTGTCCAAATTTTTTGCCCATTTTTAAAAATGCAGGGGTTTTTTCCCCTTGAGTTTTGAGAGTTCTTTATATAAGTCTAGATACCAGTCCTTTATCAAATATGATTTATAATTTTGTCCCAGTCTGTGGCTTGTCTTTACATTCACTAAACAGTTTCTTTTGAAGAGCGAAATTTTGATGCATTTCAATTTATCAATGCTTTCTTTTATGGACTGCACTTTTTATGTCAACTCTAAGAAATCTTTACCTAACCCAAGGTCACAAAGATTTCCCATTATGCTTTCTTCTGGAAATTTTTATAGTTTTAGGTTTTACATTTAGGTCTATGATCTGCTTTTAATTTTTCTATATGCTGCTAAGTATTTATAGAAGTTCATTTTTACCCCCACATGATAGCCAATGGTTCCAGCGTTATTTGTTGAAAAGACTATCGTTTTTCCACCAAAGTGACTTCATGCCTTGTAATTAAAAAAAAAAGCAGTTGCCTATATCTGTGTGGTTCTGTTTCTGACCTCTCTATTTTAGCTCATTGATGGTTTGTCTATCTTGATACAAACACAGTGTCTTAATTACTGTAGCTTATAAGTCTTAAAATCATCTTTGGCATAGTTTTTCAAAGGTGATTTGGCTATTATAGGCCCTCTGTATTTCTATATGAATTTTAGACCCAGGTTATCAATTTCCAGAAAAAAAAAAAAAGAAATGCCTGGGATTGTGATTGTGCTGAATCTATAGAACCACTTGGGGAGAAATAACATCTTACACCAAGTAGTTTCCTCACAATGTGATTATCAGTTCTTAACTGGGTACTTGAGGGGTGCCTCTCTCTCTGTCTCTGTCTCTGTCTCTGTCTCTCTCTCTCTCTCTCTCTCCTGCATACAATGCTGAGGGTCAAAGCCCGACATGCCCCTTGCTCTCACACAGCTTACAATCTACTGGGACAGACATTAGTCAAATAATTAGAAAAAAAAATGCAACACTGCAATTGTGACAGGAAAGGAATAGAATAATGCTATTATAACCTGGAAGAGGGTGATTTTATGGTGTTTCTTTCTATTGAGCCTGTATCCATGAGTTGAAAAGTATCACTACTGTTTATTTATGTTAAAGTCACAAAGTGTGTATATAGTGGGAAGGAAGTGTCCATCAAACAAACTTCTCAATCTACTATGTACTTAATGGTTAAAACAATACGCTCACTTTAGAACACACAGCAATTATGACACTCTCCCTATGAAACTTAAGCTCTAACTGGGCACGTATAACATAAAGAAATATAAAAGTGGGGCTGGCCGAGTGGCTCAGTTGGTTAAGAGCTTTCTCAAGAGTTCGAGCTCTGAGCAACTAGCGGTTCGATGCCCGGCCCGAGCTCAGCTGCCACTGAGCTGCCAACATGTGGAAGGATGGCTCAGCTAAAATAAAATAAAAATAAAAAAAATAAAAAGAAATAGAAAAGTTATATATCTATATCCTACAAGAGTATAAATGGAAGTTAACCACTCGCACATAATTTTGTCTATTGCCATTTAAAAAATTATTTTTTTCCATCAGTCTAATTGCAGAAATGTGATCAGTTCCTTTGATGTAACAATATATTTATTTTATTTTGTTAAGTCTTACCTAGATATTTCAGCTTGGGAATTTTTCTCTCCATCAACAGTGAAAGGAGACGCTCCAGTTAGTAATTCATACATTAGAACACCTAAACTCCACCAGTCAACTGCCTGCAAAACAACAATTTCATTTGATAGAGTATGAACTAATATAAATTTCATAAGAAAAAAAATGAACAAAGTAAAGCTATATATTTGAAAAATATTTTAAGAAAAATATGTTTTACATAGCTTTCTGTGCAAAGAGTATTAAATTAGCACATGCAAGAAAGACATGTAGAGAACAACTATCTAGGTATCCTCAGAACATAATTTAAACATAGAATTGAAACATTCAGCCCATCAATCAAGGAGCTAAAACTGTTTTAATTATTTCCTACACTAATAATGGTTTTACTTTGATTAATTAAAAATTTTTTAATTTAAAATAAATTTTAAAAATTTTAAGTAGGCGAAATCTTTGGACTTATGATAGAGGAAAATAAGTATCAATTAGCATTTTTATTAATTATCCAGCTCCAATGAATATTATAAAATTCTTTAAAGTCAAAGAACAAAAATAAAAGATTCCATCTAAATATGCTATTTTTTCATAACCACCTAAATCAATTCCTCTTATAAAGCTTGTCACATAAATCTAAGAGTCTTCATTTGTGGGGAGCATGATGAGATTTAAAATAAAATAAAATGTGATCTAAATTGCAAACTAATTTATAAATGCAATTACCTGAACCGAGAACATAGCAATTATATATAATTTAAAGAATCTCAATATGTTGAAAATTACATCTTTTATAATTAGGCAAATCAAGATTTCAATAATGGTTGAATATACAAGCTTACACCAATGAGATATTAACTGGATGCTAAAATTTTAAAATCTCTGCTTCCCAATTTCAGGGCTCAGGTTTCAAAGAAATGATGCAAAATTTATGAGCCCTGAGCTATTTTCAAGAAAACACTTAACAATGACATATAAACAGGATCGGGCATATTGAAATCACAAAAGAAGAGGGCAGAGACGGGCACAGTGATAAGCACTCTGCAAACATTATGTCATTTAATTAACTGAAAGGCCTCAAGGTGGTCCATGAACTCCCACTGACTGGCTGTATTCTGAACCTCAGCTCTGCAGAAATCCTAGGAGTCATGTAAGGTTTTCTTTCTAAAACTTGGTTCCATTAGGTCATAAACGGTAATTTTCACATTTTAACAGTTATAAATTCCTACCAAATTCCCCAATAGTTTCAAAGAATACCTTGAGGCCAACTAAACCTGCAATTCAATTATTTTATTTATACAAGCAGTTATACAAAGCATTCCCCAGAATGCTTTGCTATTGGATTTGAAACCATGCTCTTAAGTTGATACAGCTCTGCAACCAGATTCCTAGTCATGCAAACCTGATGCAGGAGCTTTAACCATATGATTAGTCATGAGCAAATGTTCTCCACACTTAAGATGTCTGGACTGTATATATGGGATTTTAAAAGGGGATGAGGGAGAGGGGAAGATGAGGAGCAAAAAAATAGTCAGAATTGCTTATTTGGAGAAAGTTATTAATAAAGCAAAAGAACTGAACAAATCTGTACCCTTAATACAGGAAGAAAAAAAACACGTGACCTAGATTTTAGAACATAATTACTTAGAAGCCTCTTTTACAGTCTTCGGTTTGCACATATAAAGGAGAAAAAAACTAAGCTCTTTAGAGGGCTTAGGAAAACAAACGCAGACTATCTTGAATGCTTAAGAAAGGATTTTTTTTTTCCTCCAAGGATTGATTGTTACAATGGTTATTTCTGTTGAAGAGATAATCAATAAAGTCTCCAGTGTCTCCGCGAAGTTAAAAGTAGAAATTGGGGATAAGAAAATTTAAGACATTCCTTTTCAATGATCTCTTAGAAAGCAAATATGAACTAAAGGTGAAACAGTCAACTATATGTTTCTGTATGTTTTTCCAACAAAAATCAGTAAGCACTGTCCAAATCATTCGGCACGACTCAGGCAGGAACAATGTAGGGTTTATGCATTCAGTGACACCTCTGTGCTGTCTTGTGGCTCAGCTGTGTCCCACAAACGCAGGTCCCACGCAACAGAAGAAGAATTATTTTTGGTTTAAATAGTTACAACTGCTGCTTTGCTCAAGATACAGACTCTTTTAATGGAAATATCAGAAATAATTATTTGAAGAGTTGGTTGATTCTGAGGTTTCCTTTAACAGAGTGTTATTTTATAAAAGAAAAAAATTATCCTCACCAATAAAACCTGAAAAAAGGGAAATCGGGAACATCCTACCCTTTCTATTATCTCTTTCCTCCAAAACACTAGATATCATAATATGTTCATGTATACAAAGCAAAGGAAAGAAAGCAATGAAGGTAAGACAACACCAGAAAGAGGCTGTACCTACGTTATTAACTAGGATTCTTATTATACATTTTATAGAGATATATAAAAAAGTGTCAAAAATAGAACATACCTTGTCATGTCCCGAATCTCCCCCTCTGACAATATCTGGTGCCATGTATTCAATAGTCCCACAAAAGGAATATGCTCTTTCAGCCTTAAACAAACAAACACAAAGGGATAAGATTTCAAGGTAGTATGACAAGTGACAAAATAAGAAAGTTCACGCTTTCTTATTTTTCATAATCTCAAGTGGTTCAGATTACTGCACACAACAAAGCAAAGTAGTGGTAGGGTCTACTTGACAGACCTTCTTCTCACCAGGATAGGCCATCACTTATGTGTACAAAGTATAAGTTCTGGGTCAGTATCCTGTCAGAGAGACTTCCCAGGTCTGAAGCCCTACCATCACTCACTCAACCACGCATTCACTCATGAGTCCGCTCATTTACTCTTCATTTCTGTATATGTGTATATTTCAATTATTGGTTTCTTTAACCATTCTTTTTTGTAAGAATGCAAATAGTCGTAGTAGGGTAACATGGGCTGTCGAATACTTTATAATATAGTATAGTATGGTATAATTAGTATAGAATACTTTATTTCCAGATGGGCACAATTGGGAAAGTATTAGGAAACTCGGAGTGGGTAGAAAGACCAAAAGCTAAGAAAGGGAATAGGGAACCCAAAAATGAAAACATTTTGTTCCTACCTTACTAGCTTGTCTAGGTTTGGCACTGCTAATGGTATGTTTAGAGATGATGAGCAAAACTGTCTTTTTTTTTTAAAGATTTTTTTTTATTGGGGTATTGGGGGGATGCGAACAGTGCTGGGGAATTGGGGAAAGGGGAACAGACAAGTTGCTGTCGTTTTTTGTTCTTCAATCTAGTTGTGGAGGATGTTGCTTCACTGGCCC